GTTCTGAAAGCCAAAACCTTTATAAGTGAAGTTAAAAGTGGAAACAAAGTACAGAAACTAGCAAAGCTCTACCACCTCCCCTTCCCCCCAGATTCAGCTAGCCTCCTTGAATGAGTTTTTAAAGAACCTGTAGCTAAAAATTATTACCTAACAGACATTTTGCCTTCAAAAACAGTCTTATCCTGGCCTGTATTGTTTTCCTATGGAGCTAGGAGCATCTTAAATCTTCCAGTTGAAATTATGTATTTGAAGCTGGTAGGTTACCCCTGTTGACCTCCTAAAAGGAGGGGGTGCAAATAGAGAAAGATTTCCCTGTTCCTTAAAATGTTTTGAGCACTGCAAGAGCTTTGGCTAACTGGCTAACTGTGGTCCATAAGTGTCAGATCTCAGGCATTCTTACAAGCTAATTCAAGGGGGGGGGGGGCGCGGGGGCGGGGGCAGAGGGGGAAATTAGTTCATATTACAGTCAGTCTGCTTTCTGGAGAAGATACCCTGCAGATAACTTGATAGTAGATATCCCCTGGAGGACCCTCCTCATCCAATAACCCCAAAGGCCCATTTTAATATGAAATATAAGACCAGTATGTTTACAAGTACACTAAAATGTCAGTTGTCTCATACTGTGGAATATTTCCATTTTTAACATAACACAGTACTTTTGTTTCTCAAAACCACATCCAAGGAAAACGATTAAGTTCTAGAAGTTTTATACGACAGTACAAGGAAGAACAGCAAACGCATCTGTTTCCCTGCCTCTCACTTCTCGACTCCCCTCCCCCACTCTCCATCCTGCTGGCTGTTTGTAGGTCTCCGTGGTTGTTAAAATTACTCGCTACAGTGGTCTCAAAATGCTGTCGATCCTGAAAAACTTCTTATCCTTGATCATCGCTGAGCCTAAATTTAGGCACTGCTCTAAAGGAGAAAAATCCCAAAGTCAAAGAAAGTGTTTTTAATGACAGATGTACTACGGAAAATTTTCCCCACAAAGTTTTGATGCTGTGAAATATCAACTCCCTGAAATCACAGAAAGGAAATGACTTACATTCTTGGAAAATGAAGCCACTAGCAGCTTTCTCCAGCAGTATTTTCTAGTCCGTAAACTACACCCTGTGGCAAAGGGGAGTATTTCCTGCAAAAACTAAATTTAAAGAGATGCTTACAAAACCCATAAACAAACAACGTCGGGTCCCAGAGAAGAAGAGACTGAATCATACATGGAAAACTCGCCAAGAGATACTTTTCTGAACATTTCAAAACAAAACAAAACATAAAAAAACACACACACACAAAAACTGGAGAGCAAGGGCTTGAAGTCAAACGCAACCCGAGAACATTGCTGAAGTTCCCCCCCCCCCCCCCCCCCCCCGCTGTGGGCAATGCACAGCCCGAGGGAAATACTGGCAAAAGAGATCTGTGCTCAAAAGTAAAAACGAAAAGGGTGTCGAGAAGCTAATATTTCCCTGGACAAACAACTGCATGGCCTGAAAACCTGCCAGCTTTCACTCAAACTTTAAAATATGCTTATTTTGACAGCTTTCCATTTATTCGTGCCTTTAAGAAATCGCCCTCACCATTTGATTAAGCCGTCCCGGGACTCAAGGTGCTGCTCCAGTCCCTGTGGACCTCACACTGGTGCCCCCCGCTGTCCATACCTGACAGTCCCTGGCCATCCCGGAGGAGAGGCTGGGGGTCCCCTCCGCCTGGGCCCGGGCCTGCGCGCCGCCAGCTCCTCCGGGAACCCAAAATCTGCAGGCTGCGCCCCGCGCTCGCATCCCACCGAGGCCCCCTTCTGGCGCCGCCGAGCTCCAACTCAATCTCCGGCTCCCCCGACCAGGCACTTTCAGGGACGATGGGACAGATGCTGCGCGCGGGTCCCTTCCCGCAGCCCCGCAGCCCCGCAGCCCCGCAGCCCGGCCCCAAGGCGCGCACAACAGGCGGCTGGCACCGCACCCAGGAATGCAGGGCTCGGGGGCTGGCCCCGGCGCCCGGTCACAGAGACGGGGCGCGACGGACAGGCGCCCCCAGAACAGGGCACCGGGGTGCACCGGGGAGCCGAGCGCGACGCATAGAGCCCAGGGCGCAGCCAGCAGCCCGGCCGGCCTCCCGCTCTCGCCGCCCGGGCAGCCTCGGAGCTCCTCGTCTCCCTCGCTGCCCGGCTCGGCTGCCCGGGGCCCCGACCCCCCGCTCCGGCGTGGGCGCGCTGCCTCGCAGAAGGCGACCTACCAGCCCGGTGCCCGACGCCCAGGGCCGGGGAAGCCTGGAGAAGAAGAAGAAAGACGCGGGGAAGGGGACACGGCTTTCGCAGGAGCTCGCGACTTTCGGAAACCCTCCCAAAGCCCGTCCCGCCGCCGCGCCGCCGCCGCCCGGCCGGCAGGGGGCACAGCGGGCGGCGGGGGCGCATAGGCCGGGTAGGGGGCGGGCGGGGAGGCCCCAGGGCGCCGGGCTCCGGCTCGTACCTTGGAGAAAAGTCTGGAGCAGCAGGCGTTGGACTCACCACAGCGACCGGTCCCCTCCTGCCAGCGCTGCGCTTACCCCGATCTCCCAGCCCTCGGGCCCGGGCAGCTAGGGGAGCGCGGGGTGCCGGCCCGCCCCCCGCCCACGCCTCCGCCCTGCCCCCCCGACGCCCCGCCTCCTTCACCGCCCCGAGGTGGGCGGGGGAGGCAGCGGAGCCCGGGGAGGGGAGCGAGGAGATCGCGACCGCACGTGCAGCGCCTGCCGACCCCGCCCCGGACCCAACCAAGCGTCCCGCGGAGGGGTGCGGCGAGCCCGGGGCGGGAAAAGGCGACGGGAACCGCCCTCCGGGGTCCTGGGGAGGGAGGTGAGCGGCGGAAGGTGTGCGGACCGGGGCGATCTAGGCCTTTCCTCGCGCGCGAAGGGGACCGGCGCGAGGGGACACGGTCCGCGCCCCTGCTCCTGGCCCAGCGGCCCTCTCCGCCGCCCGGGCCCCGCTCCCCGGGACGCTCCCTGCCCCGCTCAGCCGGGCTGGGCTGGCCGGGGGTGGCTGTTTGGCCTCAGCATCATCTTACTAATTCGGAACGATGGAGGGCAGGCCACGCACAGAGGAGGCGTTTCCAGCGGAGGAGGCTTCGTGACTCCGAGCTTCTCGTCTGCCCTCCTGTCCCGCACCCACCTGCCCACCCATTCATGACTCGGGACGCCGCACCCCCGAGAGTTGTCTATTCTACGTGGGGCGCTGCGGCGGAAGCCAAGCCCCCGGCCAGCTCAGCCTCTCCCGTTCTTCAGGTGGACACAGCCTATGTCTGCTGTATTTTCTGTGCCCCTGACCCCTCAGAATTATATTGGCCCGCTCCCGATGGTGTCTGGAGAGAGCGACGGGTGACGCAAAGGGCCAGGGGAAGATGTTTTTATGGCACTGAAGTCGAGGATCTTTTTGCCATCTGTTGGGTCTGGGAAAGTGGCGAGCTAAGCCTCTCCTGAGAGTCTGCGCCTACTGGGACCTGCAGCGAGGGACCTGGAGACCATGGGAGAGAGACCCAGCCTCCGACCCGGCTCCCAGGCCCGCGACCACAGAAGCTCCTGGGCTGACTGTGGAGCCTGTAACCCCTGGTCAGGGGCGGGGGGCGGGGGAGGCAGTAATGCCGCACAGGGCCCCTCACCAACGGAGGGAAGGGGTGTATGTTCAGGGTATGACAACTGGGAGAGAGACAGGGAGACAGAGGAGGCCCTGAGAAGGACGCTCCCTAAAATCAGATTTACGCTGATCGAAGCCAGCTTTAAAACTGCCCCGCTCTTTTAGTCAAAACATAAATCGTAAAACTAGTCTTTATTGGTTTAAAGCTGTGATTTTTCAACCTTTCTCATCTCATGGCACACATACATGAAATACTAAAATGCTGTCGCACACCAAAAAATAGATATTTTTTGCCACTCTAACAACAACAACAACAAATAGGTGTAACTTTGATTCATTCACACCAGACGACTATTGTTGTGTTGGCTGTTGTCACTTTGAGGAAAAAGAGGTCAATGCCCCTGACTAAATAGTCAGGCATTGCATGTTTTAAACAGTTCTTGCAGCACCCTGGTTGAACATCGCTGGTTTAAAGTACGCCCGTCTGTGCACCTTGTTTTCTTGGCAAAGAAATTCAGTTTTGTGTTCATTACGACAGAAGCTCACTTGGAATAGCCTCATTCACAGCACATTCATTTTAGGAGCCATGGCCTTAGAACTGAGTACTGGGAACTATGGTCTTTTTTCACAACTGGCAATACGTGCCGAGCTTATTTCTGTTAAAGTCCAGTGGTTTCTAAGGATATTGCACCTATGATTTGGAGTCATGACTTCATTATGGAAAGGAAAAGAACTATGTTCCAATTGCTGCTTTTTAAATTAGTTGTAGTTAATTAAAAGCCTAAATTAAACATTGGTTAACGGTAACTGATTACAGTGTAGGCATTTAAAAGTGGAGGATTGAACTTTTCCCTCTCATTTTTATCTCTTATATGAGCTCATATTTGAACACTAGTTGGAAAGGTCTTAAATTAATTTGATGTCTAATGAGATCGTCCAGCACTTCATATATAAATATAAGTAAGAAAAATGAGTAATACGTTACTACCTTGGAAAACAGTTCCTAAATCTGATTTCTTTTCAGGCTTTGCGAATAAAAATCTAGCGAATAAAAAACAACATACTGTTAGCTTGGGAAACATTGCTGCAATGTAATATAATTAGGCAACCCGAGGAGCAAAATATTTTTAAACAGCCTTTTTTAAAACATGTGTTTAAGATTGGGTTTATTATCTAGAATTAGACTGTAGCAACATTTACTAAGTGAATTCTTTTTATCATAATCATCATATTACCGAGACGACACAGAGGACCTGAGTATTCACATTGTAGTACAGCGTGAATACTACAATGAACATAGATTGTTACATAATAGTTTACTAAGTACTTTAAAACTCTTGCAATTGGTTTTATAAACCCCTAAAACATCATAAAATTCTAAAAGGAATGCTTTGGAAAACAACACATACTATCACTTTCCCAGGTCCTCCCCCAGTCAGTGGGGCCAGGATTTGGTAACTGGTGCTGGAAAAAAACCTTTATTGCATTGTTGCCCTGGGAGTGTGCAGATGGCAGCTGTCACTCAATGACACAGAGAGAGAAAAATAAAAGCAAATATGAAAGAAAACATAATTCCAGTTAAGATGGAAGTGGAGCTGAGAAAGAATGGGTTTTTTTTTGTTGTTGTTTTTTGTTGTTGTTAATCCTCACCCGAGATACTTTTCCCATTGATTTTTAGAGAGTAGAGGGGAGGGAGAGGGAGAGAGAGAGAGAAAGAGAGAGAGATGCGAGAGAGACACATGGATTGGTTCCCTCTCACAGTCTCACCCTTGACTGGGAATTGAACCCAAGACCCTTCTGTTCCTGGGGCCAACACCCTAACCACTGAGACACACCAGCCAGGGCAAGAATGGGTTGTTTTATTTTTATTTTTTTAAATATGTTTTTATTGACTTTTTTAGAGAAAGGAAGGGAGAGAGGCAAGGGAGAGATAGAAACATCCATGAGAGAGAAACATCTATTGACTGCCTCCTGTATGCCCCCTACTGGGGATTGAACCTACAACCCAGGCATGTGACCTGACCGGGGAATGGAACCAGTGACCTCTTGGTGCATGGTTTGACGCCCCACCAACTGAACCACACTGGCCAGGCAAGAATGGGTTGCTTTAGATATTTATCACAGGAAACGTTTTTCTGTGTTTAAAGAACATAATTTTGTAAGCAAAATTATTATTTTATGATTTTTTTGACGTTGAGATATAGTTTTCTTTTCATTGGTATGAGATATTTTCCTAAATATGAAACAATGCCCATCAGTGAAAAGTCATTCTAAACACATCTTAAACTATTACTTTTTCCATGGCATATAAATATCTATATAATAAAGCCTAAGCAACTGTTCAGGTGGAACAACCAGAACAACTGGTCCTATGATGCGCACTGACCACCAGGGGGCAGACACTCAACACAGGAACTGCCCTCTGGTTGGTCAGTGCGCTCCCACAGGGGGAGGGCCGCTCAGCCAGAAGCCAGGCTCACAGCTGGCAAGCACAGAGGCGGTGGCGGTGGCGGTGGCGGTGGCGGTGGCGGGAGCCTCTCCCGCCTCCACAGCAGTGCTAAGGAGCAGTGAGCAGGCAGGTAGTAAGGAGCGAGGGGTCCTGGACTGCAAGAGGGCGCAGGCCAGGCTGAGGGACCCTCCCCTCCAGTGCACTAATTTCATGCACTGGGCCTCTAGTTAGTCATAACTATAATTTTGCTTTTGGCTTTCTTAGGAAGCAGTTATTAATTCCATGAATTTGTCAAATACACCCATATACTAGGCAAAGAGTTAGATTCTGGGATTCAAAGATAAAAATATTGCTGAGTCTTATAGTCGTTTGAGGGACCAGGTGTGGAAGTAAACGGTTATAATAGACTTTAATGCTTGGTATGGTAAAAATCTGCAGTAGAAATAGTGGGAAGGCTTAGGACCTTCAGGGAGGGTACCGGACATTCCCTATCAACTAGATGGGAAGGGTAAACAAAAGTTTGCCTGGGAACCAGTTGGTTGAGGTGGTAGTTCTCCGTATATTGGGATCACCTGGGGGCTTTCAAAAACTACAGATGCCTGTGTCCCATGCATGTGATTTCATTGGTCTGGGACGTGACCGGACTTGGGAATGTTTTCAAGATCCCAGATTATTCTAAGTGGAGACACATGTGGGAACCATGGGCTACGGGATCTCAGGTAAAAGGCACAGAATAAACAAGTGCACAGAGACACTTTTAAAGTACAGTGGCCATAGCCTCATTTTGTAATTTAAGAGGCTTAATCCTTGGGGGGTGATATGTACTCGCATTTTGATATAAGGAACACAATTATATAGAAAATGAAGAGATGTGAACTGCTATAATTCACATTCCTTTACCAGTATTTTCCGAAGACCAAACAGTATGTTGAGAGAATTAAGGTTACTTCAATGTATTAGAAGAAAAAACTTTTGTTCTTTTTCATCTCTTATACATAATTGAAGGTTATTTGGGACTCAGAGTATGTTTCAATGCTAAAATATAAGTTCTAGTCAGAGAGAGAAGTCAGTAATTTGACATACTGGCTTTTAAAGAATACTTTCCCAAAATAAATACTGTTTATTTTGGCTGAAGAGCATAACAAAGAAATTAGGTTCATTTCTCTTTTTGGTAATTACTGAAATTCATTTAGAAAGCAAAACAAGCCCAGCCAGTGTGGTTCAGTGGTTGAGTGTCGACCTATGAACCAGGAGGTCACTGTTCAATCCCAGTCAGGGCACATGCATTGGCTATGGGTCATCCTGGTAGGGGGTGTGCAGGAGGCAGCTGATCAATGATTGTCTCTCATCCTTGATATTTCTAGCTCTCTTTTCTTCTCCCTTTCTCTCTGAAATCAATAAAAATATATTTAAAAAAAAGAAAAAGAAAAACAAGACGCATTTAAGTCCTATTCTAAGGTCATAAATGTCCATTTAGCTAATGAATAGTATTTTGAAAGACAAAATAATTGCTTATGGAAGCTTCAACGTGCAGTGATGAAGTCCTAGTTTTTCATGGTCTAACATTTAAAATGTACTTTTTATTATTCGTAGTTGGTATATTACTGTGTTCTATAAAATAAAAACACAAAAAGAGAGTTAAGGCTCCAGAAAAGTCAGGAGAATTTATTATCAGCCATTTAATTGGTCTCAGTATTGTGTCCCACGAATCCCTAACCAGGAATACAAATCATTAATCCCTGTGCTGTGTAGAGCCAATGCAGCACAGGGATTAATGGTATGTAGCAATCTAACTCTGGAAGATCTACTTTTACCCAAATCAGGGACACAGAGTTGCAGAAACTAAATTCAGCTCTCTCGGCCATCAAATGTTGGGGAAATATTTAAAAGTAGGATAACTTGATTACCCCGGGACAAAGTTTGGTTTGAATAGAGCATGTTAAACGTTTATTACACGCATTTGAGAGGCTACTTTCTTTCCATTGTGTTATAGTTTTAGTTTCACCATAAACATCACATTCCAGTTTTTTGAGGGCGTTGATACTCCAGACAAAAGGTTTGATAAGATGGGGTGGGCCAGGCCACGCCCTTCACTCTTGAGGAGAGACAATTCTAAATGGTGCTGCTAAGATGTTAGCTGCACACGGCAGGATAATGCCTACACTAAGGTCTTGGTGTTGAAAGGCATGGTGACGCCCAGCTGGTGTGGCTCAGTGGTTGAGGGTCAACGACCCATAAACCAGGAGGTCACAGTTCAATTCCAGGTCAGGACATATACCTGGGTTGTGGCTTGATCCCCAGTAGAGGGCATGCGAGTGATGATTCTCATCATTGATGTTTCTCTCTCTCCCTCCCCCTTCCTCTTTGAAATCAATAAAAACATATACAAAATAACTTCTATGTTAAAATCTGCTTTTTAAAAAGGCACAGGGTCAAAGGCAAGTGCCAGGTTGAGGGATACTGCTGCTAAATGTGGTGAGGAGTTTAGTGTGAAAATTGTTCAACTGTCTTATGCACAGGGTTTCCCATTATCGGAAAGAAGATTGAGGACAGGTAAAAGGGTCCTCATACAGGAAAATGTCTAGCAGGAGGGATGAGGCAAGGGGTAGACCCCCAACAGTGTAAAACTTCAGGATGTGTGTGCCCTTTGTGTGTTTATACAGTGGGCTGAGCTGGTTTTCCAGCTCCGATTCCTTGGGGAGATAGAAGAGAAAGGAAAGGAAGTAGGAATCTGGAGATAAGCTGGGTAGTCTAACTAAGGCCTCAGGCACACTCCGGTTATACTTATCTGATAGGGATGTTCTAGGAAGAGTCACTTTCTGACACAAACAATAACATGATGTCACTGAAATTCTCTAAAGCATTTTATGACATTTTATCCACTTGTACCTCAGACACACTGAAGGGGAAGATGTGAACATCCACCCTCCAGAGCACGGGCTTACAGCAGGGCCCACACGGCTTTCTTGAGAATAACAACAAAAGTTCCATTTATAAAGAGCGCTTATGAAATCTTCCATTTTGTTTTAATTTGGTTACCTTGAGTAGATTGTATGTATCCCAAACATGCACGTAAGCTTGTTTTCAGTTGCGTAAAAGAGAATGATGAAGAAAAGTGCAAATAGGATGTGCTAGTGTGGAATTTCACAGAAAGTTCCCTGAGGCTATAGGACTCTGGTGGTGGGGTCTCCAGGGGATACTCCAACCATCTCTGGTGGTTGGGATTTTGGTTATCACACAAGGTTCTGGCGTGCTGGTTGTATGAACTGACTGGATGAGAGGAAAACAATACGTATGGACACTCACACTAGGTCCCTGTTTTACTCCCACCTGATCCGGGTTAGAAACAAAATCTACATTCACTCTTGTTTGGCTTGGCTGTGGAACCAAATGCCAGAGCATCTTAAGAAATTCTTCCGTAGGCAAGGCCGTGGTCACATTTTCCTTTTCCAGGGGTAGCTTAATGATCCGTTCTATTAGCCTAAACAGAATTCTTATGCTCTAGTTCTTTGAAGAAAGCACATTGGTAATTAGACCATGGAGTTTGATTTAGAAATTAAGGATTGTGAGATTGTTCTCAAAGGCCCTCCGCCCCAGATGTTCAGTTTGAGAGGCCTGGAGCAGAAGGTGCTATGTGGGAGCTCCCTGGCTTTGAAGATAAACTAGGGGTGGGTGGGAGGTAAGACCTTCTTAAACATGCTTTCTTTTTAAAATGTTATGTATTTGTGATTCATATATGATTGAGCTAAACATTCCGTGTGATCTCTTGAGCAGAAATACAGAATCAGCAAATCAGTGATTTCCTGTGCAGCCAATAGTTCTATATTGATTGGATAATAATTTTTATCACTTACATGCTAATTTCTTAAAGGATAATGGGGAGATATCTCTAATATATGATAATTTTATGTACATATAGACTTAATCTGATCTATAAATCAACATAAAATAGTTTGCTCTCACATTAATTACCTTTTCATAGCACTTTTCACTATCTGAAATTGTTTATGACTATGTCCACTTGTTTGTCAACTGTCTCTCCCTTTATTGTTTTTATATTTTGAATTTTTATCAGGGTTTATTTGAG